ACCAGTGGTACGCTTAACTGGGGGAAACAAGAGGGGGAGGAGAGGTCATCCCAATCGTTTGCAAAAAGAGGAAATTGCATGATTTTGAAAGACAAATATGTCAATTTTAATATTGTTGTAAATGTATAAGAAAAATTTTAAAGTGTTTAGATTTTATAACAACGAAAAACAGATAATTAGGTACGTACTTCATTGTAAATTTGTCATGTAAATCCACATAAAAAATAAGGTTTTAAAATATTTTAGATAACAAAAACCGTATGTTTTCTTAGATTAATGTGTGTTAAGCGTCAAGAAATTTTTGTAACATAAGCGATGAAACCTGTGGTTTTTAATATCTTGATAACCTGTAATCAAAAAGGTATGCTTTTAGAAAAACAATACCTAATATGTTTGTTGTTGTAATTTTATAGTGTTGAACTTTTGTTTTTAGTTGGCTAAAGAGGGGTAATAAATGCCCGAAACGTGTGTAATAACAACACGTATCAACTGAATAAAAACTTGATGATAAGAATTGCCAAGTGCCTGAAAATAAATACGATAATTATTTGTGTTTGAATTACTACTAGTTATTTAAAATGTTCAGGGCAGTCCTACTGTCGATTTGGATACAAATATTGCCCTTGTATCTGTGGCAGTTTTCTTTGATGTGAATGATGGCTTTGTAAAGCGCCCAGAGTTCGGCCTGCACGTTATTGCAGTGGGTGGCAATTTTGTAGTACGCTTGGTAGCGAGTCTTGCCGTTGTTATTCATAATGACCACCCCAGCTCCGACTCCATCTGTGCTTTTTGAGCTATCTGTGAAAGTATTCCAGTCTGTCTTTATGCTGTTGTCTTCGTCCGTGATTATCGTGTAGTTGTTATCGGTGTGGGGTGGTTAGACCCGATTATATCAGCGTTATTCCCGTCTACTCCATACTTTTTGATGTCGTTGGTAATGCTTGTCATGCTTTTGATGACCTTCTCTTTAGTCTGGTTATGGTTACTTGTGTCTTCGATCTATGGAAACAGCCCTCTGGTCACGAACCAATACCAGGTTGTGATTTTGGCCTGAATATGGATGGGAGTGACATTTACCAATAATAAGAGGGCACTGGTAGGGGCCGTACGGTAGGATCTACAGATTTGGATAGTGAATCTTCTTTGAATAGAAAGAAGTTGTTTCCTGATGTGAATGTTATATACGGCTTCATACCAGACCGGTACAGCGTAAAGGAGGGCCGGCTCCATTGCGGCTTTATATATGAGTTTGGTATTTTTATGGTCGAGCCCCCAATAGTTGCCCGTAATCCACTTGAGAGCGTTGGCCTTCTGAGTCAATTTCTGGCAGAGCTGTTTTATGTGATAGTGCCAGTTGAGATTCTCATCTATATACACACCCAGATATTTTAATTCGCTAACAACTTTGATCTTGTTAGTTGCTATATAGATGCATGGCGCTCTTTTCAACTTATTCCTCTTATTACGCCATGTGCAAACAAGAGCGTTGCACTTTTCAAAATTTATAGGGAGTTTATTTCGTTCACTCCACTCGTGGATTGTGTTCAGTTGATTGTTAGTGATCTCAGCCAGCTTATCACAGTTGTTATGTGCGACCAGAAGCAAAAGGTCGTCCGCGAAGGCCTGGATGGCTGTGCTCTCAGTGTTGTGGAAGGAGTTCAGGAGATCGTCAAAAACTAGATTCCACAGACCCGGTCCGCACCTTGAGCCTTGGGGATAGCCTCTATTAATAGCTTTCTGGATATGTGTAGTATTCGACTGGAAAGCTACTTTCCTGTCTGAAAGATATCCCTTCGTGATCCTTATAATATTTAATGGGCACTTGGCGTTTTTGAGGTTGTAAATAACGCTTGGCCACCAGAGGTGGTCGAAGGCCTTCCTATAGTCAATACTCACAAGAAGGGCATGTTCCTTGTGGTCCCAGGCCTTATGAATAAATGCCTTCACGTTGAGAATCGCCTCTGTAGATGATTTCCCTCGTCTGAATCCATATTGGTTAGAGCTTTGGATACCATTGCTGTGGAGGTTCCAGTTAATTCTGTTTATCAGTAAACCATCGAGCGCTTTACCCAGAACGGGAAGGCTTATCGGCCTATAATGATTCGGCTTTGTCGGCGTGTCTTCTTTGGGGACCATTTTGATGTTACCCATCTTCCATTTCGTCGGGAAAAATCCCTTCTCCAAACAGACATTGAAAAGGTGGACCAAGGCAATCGGGATTTCTTTAAAAACTTCTTTGGCCATTTCGGCCGTAATCCCGTCGAGTCCGGGGGATTTCTTGTTATGTAGAAAGAAGATCGTTTTTTCTACTTCCCGGAAGGAGAACATTTCGTCATTTTTATTACTTGGGACGTCCTCGCATTTCTTTCGAATGGTGTTGTGATATGGAGAATCGTCCTCGGTACTGTCGCTTGGAAAGTGGGAATTTAGAATGTCGTTGATGTTATCGGCTATGTCCGGGACGTTGTCACTATTGGTGGGATTTGTTTGGAGGATATCAGGGAGGTTTAGCTTGTTTCTTCTTTTATATATCAGGTAATATGTTATGTCCCATGGTCCGTTTTTGCTATTCCTTCCGCAGAAAGTTTTTCAGGCCTTGGTTCTGGTTTTATTAATCTGTCTTTAATAAATTTTAATTGTCTGCCTGTAATTTTTCCGGATTGCTTCTTTCTCCTGTTCACTTTTCGTTCTGTGCAATTTTTTCTTCAGTTTGTTAGTTCTCTTTTTTAGTTCCGTGAGCTCCTCCAGCCACCAATAGGTTTCCCTTTTCCTACTTTGTTTAGTCGAGGTTGCTAGTTTAGCCGCGGTTTGGATCGCTGTAGTTATTTTATCGACATAATCATCCAGATCCCCTTGCGTATCGATTGGGCTAAAATGAATGGACCTCCACATCTGCCCAAAGAGTTCCCGGAACATCTCCCAGTTGGTACGTTTAGTTAAGAATCTGTTCTTGTCATGAGAAGTACTTATGTTAGTTAATTCCGTAGCGATGTAACGATGGTCGCTGGCCGAGGGAGTCAGAATGGTCTCACAATTAGTAATCCTTTGGCTGAGGTTATTGGTGGCGAGGCAAACGTCGGTCCAACCTTCCGCATGAGGGGTGTGGAAAGTTGGGAGGGTGGACATGTTGGTGGAAATTAAATCGTGGCTGACCATCAAATCGGCAATCAGCCTACCTCTCCTATCTTCCTTGGTATGATACCAGATTGCCGATTTGGCATTTATGTCGCCTAGAATAATGATGTTGTCAATTTCAATTTTTTCTAGGACGCTTGATAGTTCGCTTACAGAATCGTCGTCGTTTTCATCTGGTGCGAAATAGATGCTCATAATATATATGGGGTTTGACTGTAGCATGATAGCAACACAAACCCTTTCCGAGCAGAGATGAGGAATCAATGCTATGTCCAGTTTGGGGTTACAGACTATTATGCCGCATTTGGGCCTTGAGGGAGTATGTCCCGTTAAGATTTGCCATTTACCAAAGCGGACAATTTTGTTATCAATCGTGTAAGGCTCTTGGATCGTAATTATGTCACTGTCCATGTCGCTCGCAGTTTTAACCAGTAGCGAGCAAGCTGCTTTACACTTCTGGGCATTTACTTGAAGGAATTTGATGGTAATCCTTCGTTCGCTGTTACTAGAAACCTCATTTTTGGATTGATCACTGATCGTGTGAGTATTCTGAGTCTTGTTTCCTTGAGAGTTACAGTCCATAATTAGTGCGTATTATGACTTGCTGCTTTCATTTCTGGAGGATTGGGCAATTTCTACTGAAGGCATTATGGTGTTCAGAATGTTTTTTCCCTTCTGGGAGTCTCCCGTTCGCTTGTTTGCAATTTATGCAGGTCGGTGTTTTGTGACGACGGTCGATTCCTTGAATGGGTGTTTTTTAGCACAGTGACTGCATCTGAGGTCCGCAGGACAGTCACGAGCAAAATGATCGAACCCGCAGCATTGAAAGCATCGAACTACGGGTATGAAATTATCTACATAAATTGTCGACCAAGACATAGAGATGTGGCGATTACGTATTAGGGTGTTCCTTGTCTCTGGAGTCACAGAGAAGACCACATTTCTGCAGTTTTCTTCGATTCTGCCACGGCTTAGAATGGTGCTTATTCTGCTCGTTGCTATTATTTCGTTTTGGTCATTACTTCCCCATATCTTATTTTGTTCTACCATTGTCTTTATTATTTCATCCTCTTCTATGTAATTTGGGACATTCAATAGTATGACCCGCGGCCTTCTCCCTTCTGATAGTTTACAGCTGACTGCCTTTTGGATACTAGGGATTGCGTCAATGGCTTCCTTCAATTTTTTGCCATCCTGCTCGCTCCCGACCCGAACGCACACACCGTTGTCTTTCACCTTACGAATCGCTTTCACGGTAATTCGCAGCCTCTCCAGTCGGATTTCCTTTATTATTTTGTTGGTTATTTCGTCCATATCTTGTTGCTCCTCGTCAGTAGATGATTTGAGGTACAGGAGGACTGCATGGGTGCCTCCTGCCCCTTCTGATTGTACTTTTGTTTGGAGAGAGGCGTTAATAGTTTTAGTAGCTTGGCTAGGCCTTGTGCCAATGTTAACACTGGCGGAGTCTTGTGTTGGGACCTGGGGCGGAGAAGCCTCTAGCGTGGCCCTCATTTCCCGCATAATCCCGTACATCTGACATACACAACTGTGGAGTTGCACAGCACGATCTTTCACCTCCTTACGTTCTTCTGTATTGAGTGGAGATTTATATTTCGCTGGGAGGATGTCCATAACCTTCTTCAGGTGCTGACTAGCTTCACCAAGAATTTCGTCTTCTAGAGTTTGAAGACAGACAGAGGGGCTAGTAGTAGCTTGTCCAGCTGGAGTTGCCGATACCTTAGTCGTTTCTGGATCGTCGAATGGTTCCGGTGATTCCATATTTAACAAGGAGATGAGCCAAACGGGGACTTACCACAAGCTGACCACTGAAGTCGTTTAGCTCGAGAACGCCGAACGGCGAAAAGAAAAGGCCCAAGAAACAAAGATCGATATGCCGCTGGGAGTTACGGATCCCTTACCCGGCGGCCCGACAAACCCGGACGGTAAAACAGAAGCCGCCCGACCAAATAGAAACAGAAAAAATTACGGCACGCCGATCGGCTTGGACGCTGGACGGCTGAACACCCGTAAGACAGTTTGCCTAACCAAGACGGACCGCGCAACCCTAAACGAAGGGGGGGGGACCCTGATGAGGAATCCACCATTAAACAGGACCGCTAGAGGGAAAACCTGCGACTACGCAAGGCCTACGCCGATCGCCTAAACCACGCCAAACGGACCGACAGAAGCCGTACAGCTGAGCCGTTTGGCTCAAACCCGCCGAACGGCTAAAACGGAAAAATCCGAGAACTAGGGAAGGGCTGACACAGGGCTTTGGCAGACCCTTTGCCGACAGCTCTTCCAACACAGAGAACTAGGGAAGGGCTGACACAGGGCTTTGGCAGACCCTTTGCCGACAGCTCTTCCAACACAGAGAACAAGGCGGAAGCCGCAGCACGAGGAAGAATCCGTAAAAACGGCGAAACGCCGAACGGCTAATCCACCAGCCACAGATCCGCCAACCGGAAGCGGTTTTTGGTACACCGACAGGAAGAGGAACCCGACAAACAAAAAACAGCGTCTGCGCGAGACCAACGCCAAACGGCTAGAACCACGCCGATCGGCAAAACACCACGTGGTGGAAAGCGCTTTGTTACGGAACAGAATTATCGGACTTAATATCTCGATAACCGTTAGCGTAAGCCGTACGAAAATTTAGAGCGACAAGGATAGGACCTAAAGCCGTCGAATACCGACTAAAAACGGCCCGATGGCAAAAGTGGGGCCTGATGGAGCCCGAACAAAAGCGAGAGTTACGGACGGCCGTAACTTTTTAACTACCGAACGGAATTCAAAAAACCAAACACTCACGGAATTCTCGTTGATAGTCCTATCCAGCGGTATAATCCTTTCGTTAATCCACCAAAGATTTCCGATGATACGACGATCGAAATACGGAGCACACATACAAGCATACATACACTGTCTAGTCACACGGGTCCTACTCCAGAGAGGGACAAGAGCACGTTCTGAAGGGGCAAAACTGTTTATGGGTTTTTCTATCCTTAAAGAGACGAATTTCCGGACAGCCATTATCTTTGTAGGCGCAGGGCAGGGCTATAATTTCCGAAAGTTTTTCTAATGTTAAATTGCAGTAGTTTTTTAACTCTCCATGACAGACAGGGCATTGTCTTACTCGCGCCTTACAGCGAGAGCATACTGTGTGCCCGGCTGGACACTGAAAGGGTAGGTGGAGACATATAATCGTAACAAACCGGACATTCCAGTAAGGCTAATAGAGCTGGATCTGGATCTGGATCTGGAAGTGGATTTCTAGTCGAGCCTTGCTCTTGACGAATGGCTCTTGTTGGTGTTGCCGTAACTTGGTTTTTTTGCATTGTTTTCAAGTTTATATAAAAGGAAAAAGTCTTGGTTGAGTCTTGATTCTCTAACCAAAATATTACGAGATGCTACTGTTTCAAGAGGTACGACTTCTCCTCGCGGTTTTATAACCGTCTCAATTGAGTGGGAATCGTTTCGAATCCGATAGGAAATGTCATAGGTTCTACCCGTTCGGGTACGGTTAATCCTTCTTGTTCAGACTCTATTGTATCGGGAGTGTTTAAAGATGATCCAGCTTTCATAGTTATCGGTATCAATTCGATCATTTTCGCGGGTTTTATGTTCACTTGCTCTTCTCTTGGAAGAGGTGGATACGTGATCGTCGGTCTTTGCTTTCTCCGACAACCCGACCGTTTGCGACATCTCCAAGCAATTAAAATTACCGTTAATAAAATAACGATGGGGATCCTGAGAATCAGCTTCCACGTTGAAAATGAAAAGTTTGGCACATCTGGAGTTGGCGAAAGGATTTCTGTTTTAACGGAGTTTATTTCTTGGCTTATATCTCGTAATATTCGTCCTGAAAACTCCAATGACCAATCATGTTCATTGGCTCGGAGGATGCTCGAGGTAGCGTTTTCTTGGATGTAATCTTGCAAAATCTTCGTTTCCGTAAGATTGAGAACAACCGTTATTGCTGGAATTACGTAACGGTTTCTAAATGTTATTTTAAAAGAAGTCCGTGACTGGAAATGTGACGTCAGACGCACACCTGGTACGTGACTGACGCAAGTCCTAGGCAATTTAAAGATTCCTGTGTTGTTCAGCTTAATCATCTTGACTGGTGGTTGTTGGATGTTGCCCATTTGACTGCATTCGATAACCAAACTTAAAGGTGAGGGGGTAGAATATATCCAAGTTCCCTCTTCGTCGATGCGACAGAACATCAGTTTAGGATAAACTGAAACTCTTCTCTTACAGAGTTTGTTTACCGTTGGCTCGTCAGCCATGAACAATGCATATTCACAAGCTTGATATGGGAGTTTCCAAACTGCGACTTCTGGAGTGCAGATGGGTGTTAGTCTGGTCTTGCATTTTTGTAGGTCGTGAGCTTCTAACAGCATATAGAGTTGCCGATATCTTGACAAGGCGATGTAAGGGTAATCAACTTGATAGTGGGCAAACGCTCTTGAAACGGGGAAATATGCGGGAAACTTTACGACTTCATACAGATCAAAATATCCTCTGAGAGTGATTAACGGAAATTTTGCAAAAATCCTCAGCGTTGATGGGAGTGCTACCGCTGTGGTAGTGATCCACTGGTAATATTTGAAGACGTTATCCTCGTTTAACGTCTCGATTAGCGAAATCCCTGCGAGTAAGTGTTTGTTTACTTCCTCTAGTATTGTTAGTAACTGTGACCTTGGCAGGAAATAAGAGCTGAGTTGGTTGTTCTCCAGCATCTCAACTGCTTGCCTTAAATTGGTGATGCTGATTCGAAATTCCATTACCGCATTTTCTGCATAACGAAGGGCCGTACTAACGACGAATGTATAACTAAACATTTTGAGTTTTTTATCTAAATAATTCTGTCGACGAATCATCATGTCAATGTACTTCTGGATGTCCTTGACAGCTTGAAGGGTTTGGTTTATGACGGTTGTCTGTGCTTCTAAGACGTGCACTATTTTTTGTTGGTTTTGAGATATTTTGTCTATCCGACTATTCATTGCTTCAACTTCTTGTGAAGTAGCAGTTCCAAAGAGAAATTTTAAAATTTATCCTTTGACGTCAATTAATCCTCGTTTCTTTTGAATAGGATTACTTATAGTAACTGTGGATTTTAGTTCTTTATACTCCATCTCGAAATCGGCGAAAGATTGTCGTAAGTTAGTCAGTTCTACGTCTGCCAAAGACCACAGGGGTTTCATGGGATCATCCTGCCTCTGCTTTCCCTTTCTAACAACAGGAGTTAAGGAGGTCAGGTGACGGTGTAAATCGCGGAGGTAATTGTCGTATTCTCCAAACGATATCTCTACAACCATAGTCATTTGACTCGTGGTCATGAGAAATCTTCCCTGAGGTAGAAATATAATTCCTTTCATCATTGCGGGTACAATCGTCGAAACCTTGCATACGAAGCATGCTATCAACAAGTTCGAGTAAAAATTTACAGGATTCACCTTCATTTTCTATCAAAAAGAGTTCACATTACTAAAGTTCCGGTTTCGCAACAATTTGTTTAAATGCGCACGAGTATTCACAATAGATCTCTCTCCATTTGGAAGATGATATCCTCT